CGGAGCGGGAAAAAAAGTGGAAAATGTCCTCCCGGCCCCGACCGGCGACCGAGCAAAGCTCCGGAGCAACTGACCTTTTAGAGTTAATGTTACCGATGTACAATAATATCACCCACGGGTGTTTGATGCGAAGGACGCAAACAGAAACGCCACTCGCGCCCGCGGCTGTCGGTAACACTCACATTGTACTTGTACAGTATTTTTTTTGGTCCGTTTCTTTTCTATTGCTTTTTATTTACTGACTGTTGCAACAAGTGAATTTCCCCAGTGTTGGATCAATAAAGTCTTTCTTATCTTATCTTATCTTAACCCAAACTACCCCAGGGCCACTGGATGTTGGCTGACCCTGTGCTCTGACTCCAAGTTTTCCTCACTTGTATGTCACTTTGAACAAAACTGTTTAATATAAATATATACCTAAGCCAGTGACACTATTGATAGATTCTTAAGTACTTTGGCACAAACCTGTTTGGAAAGGTGCTATATAAAAATAAAATTACTTGAATTTGTATTCATGTATCTGTTATTCCCTGTGTATATATATATATATACAATTTACTGTGTATAACTATCTTTAGCATGGGGTCAATTGGGAATGAAGGTGAGGAAACCTGGATGTTAAAGGTGAGGACACTGATTATGACATCATAAGATGGGTGTAAGGTGTCACCATGATCCACCCTTGTACCCACCATAGCATGGAACCCTGGCACTCCAGCACATGCAATGTCATGAGTTCACAGACCACATCCTTGCCCTACTTCTACACAGCAAATGAGGTTACCATTGTGCTAGTGGGGACTCATTACTACGATATTATAGAACGGTTTGTGGAAATCATATTGTTTGTGTATTATACTACATTTGTGTATTAGTATACTGTCTTGTTTCCAATGATTGGTACTTTTTAGTGTGGAAATTGTCTTTATGCCTCCCTCAACTTGCTCTTTTTTTTTGTAGAGTACACTGTCCGCAAAGGGCAGGCACCCAGGAAGCTGGGGGTAAGAGCCTTGCTTAAGGACCCACAGACATAACAAGGCTGGGTTTGAACCAGCAACCTTCCGATTACAGATACACAGGCTTAGCCCACTGCTCCACACACTGTACCTACTCTACAGCCTGGGAGAACAGCCACAGGGATTTGCTAGGTGGCTTTAACCTCTCTTTCCTTGACAATGGGGGTCAGTGAGTGCCTCAGTGGGTAATGCTGATTCAAATCCCGGTTTTGGCAGGGTGATGTCCCATTGGATCTCTGAGTAAGGCCCTTAACCCTCAATTACCCCCAGAAACTGCCTGAGTCTGCTTTCTCAAAAAGTGTACATTGCTTTGGAAAAGAGTGTCCTCTAAATAGTGATGGTCAAATGAAGCTTCATGAACCACTTGCTGTGTTTTCTGACCACACTAGATGGTGCTTTATGAACAAAAAAGCTCAAAACATGGCCAAAAGCAAGCCAAGAGCGCCATCTAGTGCGGCCAAAAAATACAGCAAATGGTTCATGAAGCTTCATTCGGCCATCACTACTTCTGAATAAATTAAATGTGAAGAATGAATTAAGATAAGTTTTATGTTGCGTAATCTCTGACTTAAAGTATTAACTATTCGTTTTTTAACACATGGAAAATCTCAGCTGATGAAAGGCCAAAGTATGACAATAATGATAGTCAGCGATGAAAGCCTTATGTAAATAATACCACTGTGTCACTGGACAGGGTAGCGTGCCACCCACTTTCATTCTCACTGACACCCCCTGATGGCTTCTGCTCAATATCCACATCACCCCAACAATAACCTTCCATAGATCCCAAAATATTTAGTCAATTCAATTTCCAGGGTATCCCAAACATCTCAAATTGCATGATTGCTTCTAAATAATACCCTCATGGTTGTGAGTTAACAGGCAGCACAGTCACAGCCCTGTGTTGGGTCTGGATCTGAGCATAACCTGCTCCTCATGACCTCTCTCTGTTTGTGCCATCAGACTGGGCACTGTTATACATACAATATATTCAACATTTAAACTATGGTATATAGAGAGTATATACACCATTTATACTATGGTATATATAGAGAGTATTTACTACATTTACACTATGGTATTTATACAACATTTATACTATGGTATATACCGTATTGACCCACTTGACAAATCCAATCATAAGACAACAACCCATTTTTTCAGCTATTTTTTAGAAAGAAAAGTTTTTAGAACACCAAATCTTACCTTTATAAAGACAATTTTATTTGACCACAGCTTAAAAAGCAACCACAGGCAGTCGGATTACAATAGGTGTATTAAAGAGCAAACATTCCAAAAAACAAATATATAGGGGCAGCGTGTGGCTAAGCCTGTGTGCCTCAGCACATCTGTGGGTCCTTGAGCACAGCCCTTAACCCCAGCTCCCAAGGGGATCAATAAAGTATCGATTATTATTACTTGGGGGTGGGGGGTGGGGAGAGTGAATGTTACCTGCACAACCCTTGAGGGTGCCGCATGTTTTCGAAGCAGCAGACCCACATGAAAAGGGTAAAAAACATATTGCAGAGAAAGATTAAGCCATATTAATAAATGCTATGACGGCTCTTTTAAAATGAATGTCACTCTATTAACAGCCACTATTGGTTTAATACTAGCAGCGTCACAGACAGGGAAGCCGACAATTTTCACGACACTCAGGGATACAGGCTAAACACACATATTGGCAGGGCTGCCAGCTCTCTATCTTATATTTGGATCAACACGTTATGTATATTTACTACATTTATACTATGGTATATATAGAGTATTTACAAAATTTATACTATGATTGTCCCACAGGTTTTTGTCTATCGGTGACCTGCTTATCCCCACAGATGACGGAAAAAGGAGTCGGGGAAACAGAGTTGGGTTTGTTTTAGTAGGACTGACATCCATGCCCCTAAAGCCAGTTTCACTAACCAAGGATCAGTCCGCCAAGGTCTCTGCAACAGACACTTAGTGTTTCTCCTGCAGCTGATGGGCCCACAGAAAAAGGGGCTGACATATTCAACCAAACTGATCTTTTCCCTTTATGATCTTATTAAAACTAGCTGATAAGGAACTAGCTAATTGACCCACTGATTTTGTGGTATTTGTGGGAGATATGAGATGTATTTGGGCAACCAAAACAGCAAATTTGCAGTTAGAGCTGTGTGCACAGTGGAGTAGTTAGTGCACTTCACACAGGAGACTGTGGTACATAAAGACAAATGCAGTAAAGCTGTCACAGGTACTTGTTAGAAGCCACTAAACATGCATGGGCATTGCCTGGTAATCAAGGGTGTAACTTTGGATTGAACATTGGGGAGGTTGAGGTCTCCACCCCATTCATGACAATATGATTATTTTTTGGGGGGTTCTGATTATTGTGGGAATCACCCCCCCCCCTCCCCAATTTATGCTCATGCTGGCAATCAGAGAAAATGATTGGTCAGGAGCTCTTACAAGTTTTCTAAATAATATGTACATATGAATATTTACTCAGTCTAGACATTTTGGCATGGTGACGAGTGGTGGGGATCCATTGTTGGCATACAGTGAAAGAGCAGGATTACCCTCTCAACTTCACCCAGGGTCTGCTTAGGACCATGTGACCATGGAGTAAGGTCCATGCTAGGTCCCACTCAGTTCCTCCGGCATCACCTTGTTTAATATACCATTTACTATAGTATGGCGTAGTGTGTGCTTTTTACATACTTATGTGTGTCTGGGTGTTAAAGTGTATTGTTTGAGAAAGAGAATCAAAAAACTGTACATTCAGCTCATGTGGGCGTTTTAGCTGCACTGTAACATTTATGACACTTTTATCCAAAGCAGCTTAAAGTAGAGGGAATGAATTACAATTTGTGTGGGCTCCCTAAGACTTGATCCAACAACTTATGTATTTTTAGCACAATGTTCTAGCCTACTTGTTGAGCTACAAAAGCTCAACACAGGTGCTATGACCAGTACTTAAAGATACTGCCGATTGTACGCTGAATATCTTAATTAAAAATGTTTGCATTCAAAAGAGAGAAAGGGGTTGGCAGGATTTACGAGAATTAATCTATGTGTGTGAAAGGCAGAAGGAAGCTCAGCTCCCGCAGCAGGGAAGCGAGCCAGGACAGGTTACAGGCCGGCGAGTCTCAGCGCTTTACTCTCGGCGAGTTCTCCGATTAGTGAGATAGACTTGCAGAGGAAGTCCTAGACAAGCGGGAAGCAGGGATGGATCGCTGCTGCTTAAAATTCACAACTATTATGCAAATAGGCACAAAAGCATGTAAATAAATTACTACATCAACATATAGGCTATAGAGAAAAATGTACGTTTTTTGTCTCTATACGTTTCTTCATTTGGAGTTATACTCACCAGCATTGACATATTAGCTTATCACTATATGAACACGCTCAGATGAAAGTATTATGAACATTCTCATACGTATTACGTTATTAAATCATAAATAAATTATATTTTGAAAAGTGTTTGGAAGATGGATTTTTAAAAGTCCTCATAATCATTCATCCAATCATGTCAATCCACATTACAGGCATGCATTAGGTCTATTAGATCGCGATCAGCCCCTCTTATCGTCTACGTGCCAGCTTGCCACTCACCCTCGTTTTACCCGAATGGCCCAAAAAAGCCACACCTCTGTCGGTTCGGAAATGACGCAGAGTCACTTCTGGTAGTTCCCCGTTTTGGCTGCGATCGGAACCAAGCACATCGCTGGCGGCCGGTCCCGACCTGACCAGACGTGGCTCCCGGGGGGTGAGTGCTGCGGGGCCGGCTCTCCGCTCGGCGGGACGCCGCTTTGTCCGCACCTGACGGCAGTGACGGCATGCGTTAACGCATGGATACGGGAGAAACAGCGGTGCTTTTCACAGGATTTGTTAAGATGTTTCCAGTTAGTGACTATATGATAGCTACACTTTGGGAAAGGGGGGAGGGGATCGTGCTGCTTTTTACGTGTTTACGTGTTAACGCAACTGAATGCCAAGGATGGGTATTTTCTTTTAGATTAACCATGCAACTCTCTATCCCAGATCGCAACATATTAAGTTTAATGATCTGTCGTAATAATAGTAGCGAGTTAAAATTTGCAGTCGGGGATTTTTTTTGTCCTCAGCTTCCCGAAAATGACACGGCGCTGATTTGGTTATGTGCCGCCCGGCGGTCCGAGCATCGAGGAAATACAAAAGCGAGCTCTTTATATTTGATCCTCTGCCCTGATCGAGCCCATTCCCACAGGTCTGACAAAGGAAAGGTTAATAATTACCAAGGAGCAGAACGCCGACTGGGCTGTGTGCTTTGAAAATGATGAACGTTTGGATGCTGGGTATCACATCGGCGAAGGATGGAGTATTGGGATATAACTTAATTTAAATACAAATGTCTTTTTATCGGGGATGAATTAATCCAAATTAAATATTGGTTGGTACACGTCGTCCCCCTTTCTCCCTCATCCTACGCCCCTGGTGAAGCAGGATCCAACTGTGTACGTGGGTGAAATCCACGGATCAGTCTCTGTAGCTGCCATACCTTAAACGGATGTGGTGTGAAATATTGCGTTTATTACACTGTAGCATGTCAGGGAAACTTGTTATTATGGAACCTCTGCTGTAAATTAATTAGTGTCTGTACCATGTAGGCATCTCTTGATGCCTGGTAATTCTGGATCATTTTAAGTGCTTCTGACTGTGTCATGGGATGACTTGATGGTTACAAGTTTATTTTAGTAGTTATTTAATGCTCTTGTTATAATTTAAGTGTCTATAAGGAATTAACGCATGTGTTTGTTTATTTAGTTGCTTTTGTCTAAAGTGACATACGTATGAGTGACCAGCAGCGGTGTTTACCACCACTCAAATTATGCATTTGCATTGGGTCCCCAAGATTTGGGAGCCCTCTTATGGCCACAAGTAGTCATTACAATGGGGACACCTGTGAATGCCAGTAACAAGTGTAAGTTGATATCAGAGCAAGAGCTATACAGTAAAACATAGCAAGAACCCAACGTCAGAGGCGATGTTTGAATCAACACACTGAGGACTAATGATTTCTCCTCCTTTCGCAATGTGTTCCTTTTGGCCCCGCCCCCTCTATTTCCAGTTTGCATCACCTGACACCTGGCAGCCAATCGTAACTTCATGAGTGACTGGGATTGCCACTTCTTCTGCTTCTTTCGTTGCTGCTGAGCCCAGAGGCTGCTGGGATTCGTGGTTCCCACGTGGTAGCTCCTAGAAGGATGTCTGTAGTGTCGGACGGCAACGAAGGTGACATCTGCACCAACTCTGACGAGGAGGTGGAGGGTGAAGGTGGGGAGGAGGATGAGGAAGATGAGGAGCCGGGGGACATACCAAACTACTATGACGACGTGCATGATGACGTGGAGCTGCAGGACACCTACGACCCGGAGGATTATCAGTTCACCTGTCTTTCATACTGGGAGAGTCAGAGGGTGCTGGCGCAGGATGTGGCCATCGTGGCTGGTGCCCTGAAGGTGTGTGTCGGTCTGTTATTTGGGGTGCGATGGGTGTTCAGGGTGGGAGGTCAAATGAAGGCCCTTTGTATGAAATGAGGAAACCAGTTTGTGGTAAAATGAGTTCATTGCTTTCTTAACTGGGTATTGGTTGCGGGCACCATATATATTTTTCAGATGCTTGTACCAAAGTGACGTCTGTTTTTGAGAAATTAGGGACAGACAATCCCTGGAGCCATTGGAGTTAAAGGCCCAGGGATTCGAATCGGCAACCTTCTGGTCACGAGCACAGCATCCTAATCCACTGAGCCACGCAACTCTTAGTGCTGGAACTCAGCAGTTTGCGGACTTGGGTCGGTTCCTATGCAGTACAGATGCATGGATGGGGGCAGGTTTGGGCGTCAGTAGGTGTGTGGATCTTTAAAGGTGCTTAGGGTCTCACGTCTGCTGCTCTGTCCTTCTAGGTCACTCCTGCTGTTGCTAAGCTTGTCCTCGTTCATTTCCGCTGGCAGGTGTCTGTGATACTCGACAGGTGAAGTGGCTTATTTTTCTATGTCAATGTCACTGTCTACTAATACACACACTTAAAAACTTAAATTTTCTCATCTTTATTGAACCCCGTGGGGGAATTGGGTAACTCTCTCATGCTCCATCTTGCTCTCCATGAAAGACACAGACATAAATGTATACACAGGTGAGAGCAAGTTTTGGGGTCACACAGCACCATCCATTTGGGGTTCATGGTGTCAGAATTTCAACTAGGAACCCTGTGGTCACCGGCCCAGATCCGTAACCTTCTGAGCTGCGCACCCCCCTATTTATGGATAATTTATAGTTGCTGTGGGCCCTTCTTTGATTTTTGTTTTTGACAGATGCTGCCACAGACCAGCTTGTACGTGATCCTATGTCACCGAATATGTGCTGAAGGATTTCAGATTTAGTCCACAGATGGAGTATCAGGTCGCTCCGCTGTCGCTCTGTGATCAGCTGGCCATATCGCTGATGCGTCGTCTTTGCCATCATGCCATCGATGTGGGTCCTGTCATGGACTGGTATCCCATCTACAGTGTACCTTGGCCATATGCCCTGTGCTCCCTGGAATAGGCTCCACCCCCCCCCCCCCCCCCCAGATTGACCCTGACGAGGTTTACTGGTTAGACGGATGGATAAATGGGTAAAAAGCATCTGTAAAGTGTGATTACAGTGATGAAACTGTATCTTCATTTGATTTCAGGTACAAATCCAGCTTCTTGCAGATGCTGTGTGAAGCGCGAGTCCAGCCCAGTGCAGGCAGATCTGTACCGGTGAGTCACTCTGGGTGTGCGGATGTGTGATCCGGACCCTTCTACAGTGGGCTTCATAGGTAATCGTCATCATGCTGTGTTTCTCTACCCCCAGTACTCCCAGTCTCCCCAGTGTGGCGTGTGTCTGCAGCTGGTCAGGAAGGACTTTCTGCTCGCTCTGTCGTGCCAGCACTCCTTCTGCAAAGCATGCTGGGAACAGCACTGCACCGTGCTTGTCAATGAAGGAACAGGAATTGGTCAGTAGGGGGCACTGCAGTGAGCATGTATGATATGTGTGTGCATGTGTGCGTCTAACAGGTGTTTGCGTGCTTGTGTGTCCTCAGGTATTTCATGCATGGCCCAGGACTGCTCCCTCCGCGTGCCCGAGGACCTTGTTTTCCCTCTTCTCTCCAGTGAGGACCTGAAGGACAGATATCGGCGCTACCTCTTCAGGGACCATGTGGAGGTCTGTCCTGCCCTATGTCCACAGTTCCAATATTGCACCAGAATGTCATTGGTGCTAGATAGATTAGCATCTGCTGTCAGGGAGAACCCAAGTGGTTATGTGTAACTTGGCGATTTGGGGGTCTGTACCTGTGTCCAGAAGGTTGTGGGTTCAAAACTCATAGCTGGCAGAGTCATCATGTCACATGCATTTGTCTCTGTTTTAGCTATGTTATTCACCTTAGAGTAAAATGCCTTGAGCCAATGAAGTAATACATTTCAAATATTGAAACGACCAAGAGAAGTGTTCAATACGCCGCCTTTTCTGCAATGACAGTATTGCAGACTCTTAGCATTCTTTTAGCCAGCTTCCAGATGTAGCCATCTGGAATGCTTCTCCAAATGTCCTGAAGGAGTTTCCACAAGTTCTGGGCACAAGTCGGCTACCTTGCTCTTACTCTTCAATCCAGCTCTATAGGTTTTAGGATGGGGGATTGTAGGTGCCAGGTCCAGGTCTTCTGTAACAGCACTCTGTCTCTTTCCTTCATCACAAAATAATAATTATTCCATAATCTTGAGGTTGTTATCGTGCTGATTTTCAGTAGGTGTGTTCAGACTTTTCACTGGTACTCTCTGCTGTAGTATTGCAGTGTGTTTTGGTGTTTAAGGAGTTCCTGTGCTGTGGGCCCTCAAACCTCTGGTTTCCTGGGAGTCCATGTCCCCCTGTACAGTGTCAGTCCAGCATCTTCTCTCTCGATGCATGTTCTCCTCTCCTGTTTCTGCGTTTACCTTTGCGCTGCTCTCTGTTGGTTCTGGCAATGATTTAGCCTGTGGGCTGCGTCGTCACTGAGTTTTAAGATTCTCAGCAGGAACAAAAACAGAGAATGCCACAGGGGAGGGGAAAGCGGGCGGCCTTGTGCTGAGGCAGACTGTTCTTCTGGCTAAAAATAAGGCCTCGTGGGGATTGAGGCCCTTAGGGGGCCGGAGATGTTGGAGGCTGGTGGAGAGACCGGGGAACGGGAGGTGCGAGGAGCTCTTGTGAGATCGGGACACTGAGCTGCCCTGTGTGTGTTTGTTTCTTCCTTTGTGCCTCCAGAGCCACGCCCAGCTGCAGCTCTGCCCTGGGCCTGACTGTCCCATCGTCATCCAGGTGCAGCAGCCCCGCGCAGGACGGGTGAAGTGCAGAGGCTGCAGCCAGGAATTCTGGTGAGCAACAAAGGAGCGCTATAGTCAACCAAGCTCCGGAGTTTACACATACTTTTTTTTTTTTGTGGTCAAATATTTAATGGAGACTTTTTTAACAAAGAACATGTCTGAACAGAACAGAACACACTCCACCCCCACCCCCCAATACACCCTGAGACAGCACCTCAAAGGAAAAGAAACAGAAGACCAACAATGGTCACCGGCACACGCAGCCCCAAAGAGCGCAGCTAAAAACTGAGGAGAAAAGAAATAACATATATCAGTGAAAAATGTCAAAATTAGGAAAGTAAAAATCAAAACAAAAAACAAGGATTACGGCCTCAGGACGTGACCCGCAGCCAGTCCTTTACCAGCTGCACGTCATGGAACCAGCTCTGGATCGTAGAACCAGACGAGTTGTCTGTTCGCAGAGTGTCGCAGAGAGTTCCAGTTTACACATACTGAACTACAATAGATTTTACATGCAACACAAGTGCTTACAGACTCATAGACATGCACATGCATGCTCAATTACACACGTGACCTGTGATCCACTGTAAGTGGGCAGGCGTGTGTACCCGTGTGCACACACAAAGACCAGCAGTGTGCGCTCGTAGTCCATGTCACGTGAACGACGCAGTCCACTGAATCTAGCACTTGCCATCCTGTACCTTCTGTTAATCTGCTCTCCCTCCCCGCCCCCAGCTTCAAGTGCCTGCAGATGTACCACGCCCCCACTGACTGCGCAACCGTGGTCAGGTGGCTGACCAAGTGCGCAGATGACTCAGAGACTGCCAACTACATCAGCGCGCACACCAAATATGTGAGGGACACTGCTGTGCGTGTGTGTGAGTGTCTGCGCATGCATGTGTGTGTGTGTGGTGCTACCCTGACAGAACAACAGACCTTTCAGTGAGATCTTAACGGTCTTTGTCTTGGTATCAGTTATTTGTTTATTTATTTGTTTGTTTATTACTTTGGAATGTTTATAGCTTTTTTCCCCTCCCTTCTCTCTCTGTCTGTCTGTCTCTTTCTCTGTCTCTTCCTCTCAGTGTCCAAAATGCAACATCTGCATTGAGAAGAATGGAGGCTGCAATCACATGGTCAGTCCACCTCATGGTATCTTTTCAGTTTCTTGAAATGTTTATTGCAGTGTTAATTTTGTTAACGAAAAATTTTCATCATCGTTATCGTCAACGACCTTTATTTTCAGACTAAAACGAGACGATAACTAAATAAAAATGATTTCGCGAGACCTAAGACTATGACGAAGTGTATTGACACTTTCGTCAACTAATAAAAACGAGATGAAAATGTTTGCCAGAGACGAGATATAATCAGAACTAATGTCGTTCGCGTAAGGCAGGGGTATTCAACTAAAATTTAAAGAGGTCCAGTTAGAGAATATTTCTTGAAGCAAAGGTCCGGAAGATCGTAATGTACTATTTAGTGTGATATATATTTAAGTAGTTAGTTATATCAACATTGCATGTAATCAATACCTGACTGTCAAATCAAATTAATTCAGTACAATTCAAAAACATTTTGACAATATTTATTGTCACGTGACATAGAGCTGAATATATATGTATGACTTCCGATATGTATAATGTTTTCTCATTTACTAGTTTTAAAAGGACATTTTAAAAGTAGGGCTGCATTTCAAAATGGGATAAAATAAAATGTGAAAATTGTGCATGTTTGAATAAAGTGTTTAACTTAAACCGTAAAATCCTAATACAATCATTTTTATGTCATTTATTTTAGTGTTCATGAATTTAAGTATTGGTCTCCATAATCCCACACCGGTAATAAAATTTAAAGTCTGGTTTTAATATAAATACATACGAACTTCAATCGCTTTCAGAGTAGGATATGGGCGGTCATATTATTTTGAAACATATTATAAAACGTGACATTTTTTTTTTCTCATTTTAGCTTTATATTTGTCGGAGTAACAACGCAAACAGAATGGCGAGCCGTTTCAGGCGAAAACAGCGCATTTCACTTTTCATTTCAAATAAAACGCGGGGTTGCCAACTTCGGCCACCTGGCTCGAGTGAGACTTTCAGTTTGAGTTGTCCGCACACATGTAACAGTTCTTACCTTGTAAATAGTCTGCTTTTGTATTTAACTGTGTAAATACACTTTTGACGTAGCTAATTTTAGGTTTATAATGGAATAATATAGATTTGCCGTAAGATTTCCTGCGCGAGTCTGAAAGCGTGAGTATCATACCAGAAGCTTGAGATTTGGCAACCCTGAAAACGTACATTTTTTTGAGTTGATTTATATAACAAATAACATTACTTTATACAGTTGTTAAAAAGCGGAAACTTCAATGAACATGAAACCACCTGAAAGTGAGGAGAGTTGATTTTTGGCTCAATACACTAATAGAATTGTAGCCTTGAGGTAATTATATTGCTGTTGAAAATGCTAAAATAGAACGGTTGCACTTCCTGCTACTGATAGCCCTTGAGAAGTATGTTTTCAATATTTGGATTTTTTTTTCTTGATAATGGGTATAAATCCCTGAGACCATTATTGGTGTTTTTCTTTAAACATATTTGAGAATTTCAGGTGAAACAATTAACAGCGAACAATAGCAAATAAAAATATTACAAATATGTATTTTAATATTCAGAGAGCAGGCCTGGTGGCATTATTATTTTTGCACTAATGGCACTCCTGATTTGACAGTATTCAGATTCCGGTTAAATAAACAATTATTTCTGCACAGTCAGACCTTAATACCATTCCTTAACATTTGTTTCATTTCTTTCTCGGTGAACATAATGAGTTTCAGAAATCGAAGGGAAACTTTAGACATTATTCTTTGCACTTTTAATTTTAGTCGACTAAATCAACTGTAGTTTTAGTCGACTGTAATCTTATATGTAGTCGACTAAAACTAGACTAAAACTAAAATAATTTAGATGACTAAATTATGACTGAAACTAAATTACATTTTAGTCAAAAGACTGACTAAAACTAAATAAAAATTTGCATAATTAACACTGGTTTATTGAAATAGGATGGCACCCTAACGACCCCCCCCCCTCCTCTATTTCAGCAATGCTCCAAGTGTAAACACGGTAAGTCTCCAGCCATGATCGACGCCCCATCCCCCTTCCTCCCGCCGCTGGGTAGCCCACCTGTCCCCCCCATCCCCCTTCCTCCCGCCGCTGGGTAGCCCACCTGTCCCCCCCCATCCTCCTCACCTGCCAGTTAGCCCTCTTGTCCCCACGTGTGCAGACTTCTGCTGGATGTGCCTCGGTGACTGGAAGAGCCACGGCAGTGAGTATTATGAGTGCAGCCGCTACAAGGAGAACCCCGAGGTGACCAACCAGAGCCAGCAGGCCCAGGCCAGGGAGGCCCTCAAAAAGTACCTCTTCTACTTTGAGAGGGTGAGGCGGGGGCACAAGTATTATTATTGTATTATCCATCCATCCATCAATAATCCATTCAAACATCCACCCATCTATCATCATCCATCTATCAATAATCCATCCATTCATCAATAATCCATCCATCAGTAATCCATTCAAACATCCATCCATCCATCTATCCATCCATCAAATCGTCCATCCATCTATCCATCTATCCATCCATCCATCCATCAATAATCAATCCATCCATCTATCCATCTATCTATCCATCCATAATCCATTCAAATATCCATCCATCTATCCAGCCATATTCTAACTGGTTATCCTACTCAGGGTCATGGGGCCTGGTGTGTACATATTTAATGTTGTGTTATATATCACATTATGTATCGTATTATACGCTGTCTCTACATATTATGCTCATTCTCTCTCTTTGGGCGCTTTTCCACCACACCGGGTACCGTACTTTTGGTAGTTTCTCGAAGTACCAAAAGAACAGTACTTCAAGGCGTTGGTTTTCCACTGGTGAAAAAACTGGTATCACAAAGGCGAGGTGGGGTATTTTGTGCTGAATTTGAAAAATGGATGCAGTATATTATAGGGCTGGACGATGTGTGATATTACGACTAACATTGCATTTCATGCACGTGCAATGCACATGCACTCACATCGCTAGTAAGATTAAGATCGGGCTTCTTCTTACTTTAAATTCAGTATGGACATTTTACTGCTTTTGCATGAGCGCTGCATACATTCTCAGAGATAATCATAATTATTTTCATCATTGCTGTTTAAATCACTCCTAGACGGGTTTATGAGAAATGTATGAAGGCCTTTTTGATTTATAAATATCCCAATATTTTTTACAACAAAATCGCATCACTAGGATAGCACGCTACATGCATGCAGTCCAGGTATATTAAACAAAACACTTTTTAAATTTTTTGTCATGCCACCCTGAACTTTCTTTTTGTATCTCTTTTTCCCACCAGATTGCAATTATTATTATTTTTTACTTAGTTCATCTTTGTTTTCTTAGCTGGTAACTTCTTTTTAATATTGTGGTTGTATGGTGTTTCAGAGGCAGGCTATTTGCATAACCAATCAACAATGAAAGCATTTCAAGTCCCACCCCAAAGTAGTGAAGTACCAAAGAAGTACTGCAGCTGGTTTGGCACTTTTGGTACTGGAACATTTGGTACTGGTACTCACCTGGAAGTCAATGGAAAAGGGAACGTACCGAAAGTACCGCACCTGGTGCAGTGGAAAACCACCCTTTTTCTCACTGTCTCTGCAGTGGGAGAACCACAACAAAAGCCTCCAGCTGGAGGCACAGACATACCAGCGGATCCAGAGGAAGATCCAGGACCGTGTGATGAACAACCTGGGCACCTGGATCGACTGGCAGTACATGCAGAACGCAGCTATGCTGCTGGCCAAGGTAGCGTGTCTCTGTCGCCATCACCGTCCGCATCACCCTGGTCGGCGTCTGACCCCCAGCATCTCACCTGTGTCCCCAGTGCCGCTACACGCTGCAGTACACATACCCCTATGCCTACTACATGGAGCCTGGACCCCGCAAGAAACTGGTGAGCAACGTGCGTGCATGAGCTGAATAAAACCGGAATTTTGCCAGTTTAATCTAGCATGGACCAGAACGGGCTGGTAGGTGCCTGAGATGGGGTGTGGGGTGTTGATTGGGCATTTTAATGTTGCTTGAAGTCACCCCCCCCCCCCCACACCATTTCCAGTTTGAATACCAGCAGGCGCAGCTGGAAGCTGAGATCGAGAACCTGTCGTGGAAGCTGGAGCGAGCCGACGGCTATGAGCGAGCGGGAGCGGCAGGAGGAATGAGTGCCACTGACCAAGGGGTGAGGGCAGGGGGGCTGATCGGCAGGGGGCTGTAACCGGCCAATGGAGTGGCATGTAAAAAGGTGTCCACTAAACCAGTGTAACTGTATTGTAAATGTTGTCTTTTGGGGCCTGATTTCTTGCTTAACCAGATAACTTGTTGATTTTAAGGTAGTCTGTGCCAAATGTAAGTGAATGAAAATAAAGTCCATTTAAACTCGTGTACCTTAAATCCAACAAGTTAGAAATCCTGGGTTTGTGATACAGTACTGGGTAAGAAATCCTGGGTAAGAAATCCTGGTTTGTGATACAGGTCCCTGGTGCTTACAACAGCGAGAACAGGCAGCACAGCACATAAGGTGCCAAAACAGACAAAGGGCTTTACAGATTTCCACAGAAATAGTGGCGGTAATGTTTATAAACAATCAAAGAATAGTATAAATAGCATACGTTGGATGATTAAATAAGTAGCTGGAGCAACAGTTGAATCGAGTTCTGTAACCTCTAAAAATTGGAAGTGTTTCCACAATTTTGGCCACTAGTGTATTAAAGTCAGTGATATTCCCATGATAAAGCAGAGTTCATAAATTGCTCAAGCAGCTAATGCTGGGGGTTGCAATATGCATGTAGTTGGGCCATGTCATGTGATCAAGGCTATCATGTGATCCCAGTTGGGCTCACGTCCCTACAATGTTGACTAGTTGCTGCTGAGTCTTTTTCTACAGAAACACAGAGACCTGAAGTTTGTCAGCTGACATAGTTAGGTCTGGTCTCCAGTACCGCATATCTTGTAGACACTCAGTAGAGGCGTGTCTCTTTGAGCTTTGAGGCAGCAGAATCATTATGATGATGTTCTGGGCAGTTTAATGTGACTTCAAACTGATTTGTACCAAATACTGCACTCCCTCAGGACCTGGAGATCCAGATGCACATCGCAGAGCACCACAGACGTACGCTGCTCAAGGACTTCCATGACACTTAAGACTAACCTTCCTGCACCTCAACAGCGACCCCAGCTGGAGTGAGGAGGCCAGTGCCTCGGAACGGCTGGCTATCCCCGGTCTGCCTGCAGACCTCGCGCTTGTGCACAAACCCAATGGGACAGAGAGGCTGCACAAAAAGGCTTCTTTACTCACCACGACACCAGTGCAACCTGCCCTCTGAAGACAAAGATACTCGATCAGGACACTAAACCAATGCACTCTGTTTTTTTGTATATTTTCCCCATTTTTCTGGCTGTTGCATATTTCGATCATTTGGAACATTGGGGGGGGGGGGGGGTGGTATAAAAATGCTGTATTTTCCAGCCGTTGTGTATTAATAGACTTCTTAAAGGGTTTTAAATGAACTTCTCATGTGTGGTTTGCTAAAGTGTAACTGAATGCAGGGCTGTAGGGCACCGAGCCACGAAGAGCGAGTGGGAAATCCATCTGTGCAAAGTGTTTGGCCAGCAGAAGGATGTAAGCTGGTCAGCTGCATGCTCTATGAACCTTTAGTCAAACTAATGAGTCCATTTATGGCACCAACCTAACGAGCTGGCATTTGGTGATGCTGGAGCATGATCCACATCTTCCCGCCGTGTTTTTGATCCTTTAGCATCAGTGCTAATCCTTAAGTAGTAATACTGGCTCATAATTTTCACCCTTGTTTTTTACCTCACTGCCTGAGTACGTCTGAGGAAGGGGATTTCCATGCTGTGGAGCACGTCTGAGCACATGGTGCTTCGATGAACATGACCCTTGTGTTACCCAGCTGCCAGGTCTGTCAGACCACTCGGCTGATTTGAGCTCAGTTTAGCAGCTATATCCTAGTGGCGTTTCTCATCTCCTCTAACCAGATGGGAGCTGCTTGACATTCTTGTGGAAGACGACATCATTCTGTACACAGCAGCCCGTTGCTCTCAGACTGGGGTGCCCTGGCTTCCTGTCCTGTGACATATGACATCTTTTCCTTTTGTGTCTTTCTGCAGCTCCACACTGCAGCAGTTACGATGCTTACAAAGGAGCATTTGTACCAGCTGAGTTTGATGGTGATGCCCCGTGCTTGAAGTGGGCTGGTACTCACCACTACACAGTACCAACACCTCTCAGTATCTGCTGGCACTGAATCACACAAGTGGAGTAGCAGCACCTGTTTTTTTCCCCACTTCAAGCAGTGGTGCTGCCTTTAAAAAATGCAACAGGCCGACCACTTGGAGCAGTATAATGCAGACGGTCCTCTGACGATGGATTTACCCCAAATATAGTAGCAGAGCATCCAAGGTGTTCTGACATACTGATGCCAAATCAAGGTTCAGACACAAATAGTGTGCTTTACTTACTTAGATCCCAGCACATACAGTAAATGCAACCCCACCCAAGTTGTATTTCTGTGTTCTGAAAGGGGGTGGACCATTACAAGCAGACGAGCTCGCAAACAGGACACTTCCTGTCTAACATCTTCTGACATTCAGTCTCTTCTGGTCTCCGCCTAATAGTTAAGTAGGGCTGAAAGCCCCACAAGTAGTTCACAGGGAAGGACGTCCATCAGCGAAGCCAATACCAGCCTTTCTATTGCATCACTTAATGAGCTTTCAAATCACTTCCTGTTAGAGGTGGTCCTTCGTGCTGATTGGTGGTGGGATTAGGCCAGCTGCGACCGCTCGTCTCTCGTTGAACAGGAAGTTGAAGGTGGCGCATGCGTTGGGCTGTTGGGGGAGTGAGAAAAACTTTTTTTAGGCTAGTGTAGCGAGTTTTCAGATCACCAGGTATGACCCTGATTGTGGAGGCACTGGGAGGTTAAGTGGCCTCATGGCTTATTTCTTACCGTGTCTTGAATCTCAACTGCAATGCGCTTCTTCCTCAAGAAGTCTAGAACGTTCCTGTCAAGCTGCTCCACCTGGCCCCCAGTGCCCAGGACCAAAACTTCTGTAAGAAGCAGAAAGATTCAGAGCTGGCTGTGGATCAGATTGCTGTTTGGTTTGAAACTCACTATTCTGTGTTGATACCTGTAGCTGCTTTTTAGGTGCTGTTAATTAAAAAAAAACAAAAACGTATGATTTCAGCAGAAATGCCTTTTCAGTCATGCAACAGCAATGTCCTGGTTATGTTTGAAACTTCAGTACTACATCACCTGCTGCTTTTAACGGATATTAACGATCTGCATGTGGTGTGGAGGTGGGGGTGGGGGTATATTACCGATGCGAGGCTCTAGTAGGTAGAATAAAGCCAAACTCTCCACTGAGATATCCTTATAGTTGCCTACCTGCAGAGGGCGACAGAATTCAGGCAAATTCTATATCAACTCTTACCGATTAATTATTATTAATTATATATGTAAATTGTTTACTTAAGAGGTGCATATACTCAGGATGTCTGATAACTAAAACTGCATATTTTACTGAAACAGTAACGTTCATTTACCTCACTCATTAGCCAGAGGTAGTTATTCATGGGCATAATGAACAATGTTAATCCTATCACTGTTTCACCTTACATAACTGCATAATGATAATAAAAATAATAAATAATAATAATAAAAAACAGGCTCACATTCCACTGCAGGATGGCCGGCGGAAGCACGGCGCACGGTCCCAGTACCCGGTTCCGCCCGATAGTAAAGCCCCGAGGGCTGTAGCTGTGAATGAGAAGATCGCTGTCCGCTTCCTTCTGCATGACTGACACCGTGGTGCGCTGGTACAGTTCATCGTCAGTAGGGGCCAGGCGGTGTCCGCGCACCAAGGCAGGGCTACGGGACACGGGTGCAAGGTGACTCCTCTACAACCGTACGCTTCATTTACTTCTTACGGGAACAGTATACGTACTATAAGCATACTCCCACACGGTATATTAGGCTTCCATACTACATAATTCGCATGTTACATACTAAGGTTTGTGTGAAGCATGCAGGATGTAATAGTCAATCGCAGATAATTTATACACAAATACTAAAGTAACACTAGACAACGGATTTTGCATTTAGCCTTACAACATAACCACTACATGCGTAGTGATCTAAGTACTTCCCAGTGTAGTATATATTTTTAAAAATCATGCTTATTTCGCCAGCTTACAATTTGATGGTGCTCTACTTATGTTTGTTATTAGTAATAACTAAGGCAGTTATCAGAAGCCTCTCTGAATACTAGGCAGCTAAATAGAGGTCATTGGGAATATCTGTCAGACAACATAAAACGTATTTTAATTTATGATATAGAGAGAGAGTGGCGTGCAGAATCAAAATGAAGTGCCATCAATACCTCATAAAACCTGGATATCTCTGAGGACCCAGCTGCAGCCTGTGTTGCGCGGCCCGGGGAAACAGCCTGGCGTAGCACACAGTGGCCATGCTGGTGGGAAGAGCTGCTCGTTTGTTCCGGTGTGTCACGTAGATCTGTAGATCTGCGACTCGCCGCTGTAGGGTGCTGCCACCTGCCGACCGAACTCGGCAACTGTCAGAATCGGGCGCTGACAAAATCACTTCGCAAAACCAAAATCCACTTCCGCTACTAGACCTGTTGGTTGCTCAGCTCTTCTGTAGCCGCATTTTTTGACCTTATAGGCTTCTTATGTCACGTTTAGTTTCTGAGCTAGTTTAAGCGTGGCGATAAATCACACTCGCTCATTTATGACTGAAGATGTAGTGTCTCCCCACCGCTACTACCGTTTAATATTGCTGATATAATTGTTTATGAGGTTCTAGCCTGAGCTCCTGAAGCAACTTTCTGTTTCACATTTCACCCTTTTCTTCGTCTTGACGATAAACTGAAAGATCTTTGTCAAGAATGTAAGAGCTCCACAGGCCTGCAAAGACATTTCCGACAAATACCAAAGCAGTTGATCACTGTGATCTGCAATCCTGTCTGCATACTGTTGCTACATTCACCGTAATCCTTTGGCTAAAAATATTTACAACGTAACATATTTACAGTGGTATTTTAGAAAACTAGTCTGACATAAGATAATAGGAAATGGAACAAAAGATCTTGTAAGCGTTTAAATGAGTTAGTTAGTATCGGGAAATTCATTGTGGAGTCTTAAAGCACTTATGTAAGTCGCTCTGGCTAAGGGCGTCTGCCAAATGATGTAAATGTAAATGTAAATGTAAATGCCTGGGTAAGAACCATTTAGCTGAGCTGTCTGATAAAAATGTCACGTAAACCTCTGAGTATGAAGGCAACTGCTACACAACTTAATATTTGTTATTATAGTTTTAAGCAGAAACATATTTGACAGGCATCAACTGACGTCAAAGGCTTTATAATGGTTTGCACTAAAGATGTCCTGTATAAGTTAAAATAAATAAATAACACCAACTTCTTCAGATGCAGTTGAATTTGAGCAAGGCGGACAGAATCTGCACTAACATGTATGGGGCTCTGCAGATAAGTATGGCAAAATAAAATACTATGCTATTACTTGCATCCTGAAAGTCTGGAATGCTGTTGAAATTCCTGCTTTGTAAAGAATATGCTGGCTTTACTGAGAGGTGCTGAAACACCACTGTGTGTGTATTTGAATTGTACTGAGTGCCTGTTCATCTTGGGGGGGGGGGGGGGGGTCCCTCAGACTCAGACATTTCTTATAGAAATCACAGGTCCACTAAACTAATTCTGTCTTCTTTAAACTTAATCTGATAATTTTGCCTAATTCAGCTCTACTCAACTGTTGTGTGTATATATACTAGACACCTTTGTAGGTTTTTGACATCTGTTACAATTTTCCCAAAGGCTCAGCATAATGACAGAATCTCTCACAGATGCAGCAGCCCTGTGGAATTCCATCTCATTCAAGGTAACCACACTTAAGATTTTGGAATTCTGTGATTTAATTTGAACTACTACTCACACTGTCACGCCCTCCCACCCTCGGGCAGACACAGCTGCCTGCAATCGGTGTTAAAACAGACAAAAAAGTAGACTTAAGCCTGGTCCAAACTCCAGCTCAGTGCGAGGTAATGTCAAATTCTCCATGAGACATACCGAGCGCGTTAACCCATGTCTTTTGTTCAACTCCGCTCCACCTTGCTTGCCCTGCCTGATCTGCCCGCTCCTCTGGCCCAAGCCCTTTCCAGTCTTCCCTCTCCTCCCTCGTCCTTCTTGCAACATCCTCGTGTGCCTTTTCTGTGTCAACGGACTGACCTCCCTGGCTCTTGCACTTTCTAACCCCGCTCTCCCGACTACATCTCTGGATCCCAACTTCACCTGTGATCGCCGTGTTCCCTCCTCTCCGGCTCAGATCCAGCTCGCCTCTCCGGCCACAGTTCTGCCTGCCCTCACTCTGCTTGCTTGCCTCGCTCCTGTAATATACTCAGCCTTGTGAGTATTTCTCCTGACTGGCGTGTGTTCCTTACACACACAAAATACGCCCAAACAATTTACTAAATCCCCAGCCTTTAAGGAGCAAGTGCTCATTCATGTCGTCGCCAGCTGGGGCCAGAATATGTGAATGTGTGTAGGTGTGTGAGGGGAAGGCTGTCTTCCTGTGAGAAACTGTTTAGGGGAATGGGCCAAGGTGGCTCTTCCTGCTGGTTAGTGAAGAAAGAGGAAGTAGTGAGACGTGGTCTCACCAGCAGAGGGAAGTACAAAGGCTGAAGAATCCCCATCATTCACTACTTCTGTCTCAATGGTTTTATCAGCCAAAAATGGGCACAGGCAATAAGGGGAAACTGCCTTGGTGTGTGTGACACACTGTAGTGTACAAGACTGACACACTGTGAGAGAGATTCCAGTCATGGACACATTCCAGTGGGAGTGGCGGACCGTACGTAGGCATCCTATGCACACACGCTGAACTGCGTTGGCAAGTGATACGTGTGGCTACAGAAAGAAGGAGAGCCATGTGACACAGATTAGGAGAGAGAGGCATGTAGAGAATGACAAAGAGGGACACGGGGAAGTCTGAAAAACAAGGGTGAGAGATAGAGAGAGAGATACAGAGGTCTGAGTGTAACAGAATAAAGTGTTTCTCCCACATGCAGACTTATCTGGTCGTATGATTGGCCAATTGTTTTATTTGTGTGGAGTGTGTAATCTTATTGGCTGATTCCTGTCCTCTTCTGGACTTAGATTAAAGGTCTTTCCAGTCATGCTAGTGGTAGATTGTGGTGGAACAAACTCCCATAAAACAATAGAATACTGTACATTAGAGTTTTTCAAAAGCAAAAACAATCATTTCTACAATCATTTATGTGCCCTCCTTTGCACTACAGCAAGTGAAATGTTATTTACCATTCTGTGTTGCAGACACCAGCCTGTATGTTGCTGCTTTTGCTAGGTGAATAAATGACTGGGCTGACTTCTTGCTTCCAAAGTTAATTTCATACAGCACAACGCAGAGTCATCCATGCTACATGTCTATGACATACTGGGAGAGAGATACATGATGTAGCGAGAGAGATAAATGGATATGTGTATTACTTCTAGGTAGAAAGATGGAGAGAAAGGAGAGAGCAATGGAGCGATAGAGGTAAGGGGAGATATAGAAAGAGGGATGGAGAAGCCTGTCTTATTTATAGGAAGGTAAAGAGATGGCAGGAGCATTGAGAAATGAGACACTCCTCCCAGGAGGCCATCTCAGATGTCCAGAATCCCGGGACTTTCCTGAGCCCCACTGTCTACCTGACACACACCTGTACATGTGATGGAGAGTCCAAACACTCAGTTAAACCATCATTGTATCCAGGGTTCAAATTACACAGTGGCTTTTCGGGGAGCCCTATTGTTCAGTGTGACACACAAGTCACATGCACACGCAGACATATGTGTGTGTGGCTGCGTGGTCAATAACAGGGTTATTGCGAAAAACACACACAACAAACACACACCACTGACACATTTGTACTATTTTTTTTTTTTCGAGAACCTTAATATACGGAAAATAAAATATAACCTATAACACAAAAGTGGACATTTTTAGAGCCCCCCCTGGAAGTCTGAGGGGAGACTTTCAAAGGCGATCGTGTCCTTTTCAGCTCCCCTGATCTTTGAACTATGTGTGTATCTGATATGCACTAGTCATTATTTTTGAGACACACAAATTTTGAATAGTAATTATAAAATATGCTTAATGAGACACGGGCACTTAAATGCAATTGATACAATTTATATATTAGAAATGATCTAAGGAAATCTCTTGTATTTTTGTTACAATGAAACACACACACACACACACACATACACCTGAAACATGTTCACACTGTATCTTTGTAAGTCTGTACACATTAAATAATCCTGCCTAAGTGACTCAGATATCCGACTTCAACACAATAATCACTTAATTACATCTTTCTATCTAAAAGCCATCTGTCATCCATAAACCTTTTTCCTTGCCCAGGAATTATGACCCCAGGGATGGGGTGCCCCTTAGAGTCACCAATATTCCTGACTGCATGATTTTAAAATGCGGCAGGAAACCCACTCACCCATATAGCGAGCACGCAAACCCCCCACACACACAGAGCCTGGGACAGGGATCAATCCCATTTATATGACCGAAATATTTATATAAAAAAACATGGTCCCAGAACGGAGACTTGCTGGACAGGCAGTCCCCGGGCTAAGAAAGTCCAGTTTATAGACAAAAAATTGGGGTGGCATGGTGGCACAGTGATTTGAGTCTCCAACCTGGCTCCACGCGTGAGGAGTTTGCATGTTCTCCCCATGTCGTCGTGGGGTTTCCTCCAGGGGCTCTGATTTGGACCCCTCGTGATCATGAACATGAAAAGTGGTTACAGAAAATGGATGGACATAAAAGAATGTGGGTTAAGCACAATGACTCATAATAACGAATGCACACACTACTTTGTGAAAACATTGTGTGGCTTCAGCAGTTTGTATGTAGTTACTCTTATTATTACTGCATAATTATAATTATTATGTACTAATTTCTCTGACTTACCTACAAATTTGACTTAAAGACAGACTTTGGGAAACAGGACTGTTTCCCGAGGCCTTAATACTGCGTAGTTGATTAGGTCTATCGTTTAACATAAAAAGGCTTCGGGAAACTCACCCCAGATCTCGTTAGTAACCTGGGGACTGTCTGCACTCCATGATTCCCCAAACAGAGTCACAGCAGACAGCTTAACCCCTAAGAAGTGGTTAATTATCTGCTGCAAAAACACTTCACACTGGTGCAGGACACCTCCCAAGTCATAATGTTGAACACCATTCATTCCCCCCTACACTGAGATATAGTTTCTCAGGTGGTTTATACATCTTTTGAAATTGAAAAAGTACCACTTCAACTACTGGCCATGATTGGAGAAATTCGTCTAGAAGCGGTATAGCGCGTTCAGGTGGTTTGGGTAGTGTTCAGAAGTAAAAAACTGGCCTGACTCCTGAGCCACACTGATAAGAATCACGTTGAGCAGACTCTGAAAAATACAGAAATACTATGTGGTACATAAAGCTCCAAAATGCCACTGACCAGGGCTTATGGGTGAGGATGCAGGAGCACTTCATATGTAAAATCAATAAAGACTTTCTGGATGGTTCTAAAGCCATGTCAAAAAGAAACGGACATACTTGTTCAGCCTTTACTACCTCAGCTTATCACTGATCAATGTCAGCTGACTAATCACATGGAAATGTTACGACTCAAATCGATACCAAGCCATTAAACATAATTTTCAGTGTTTTTCATTGTTCTTTTAACATCGCTTCGACATATGTGGCTGATATAACCCTGTTTATTCATGAGAAAGCATGAACGGGGGGCCCAGGAGAAGGGGGAATGAGGGAGTGTCTGGGGAGGATCGGATTTCAATGAGAAAAACGAAAGCGAAACGATTGCTGTTAACTGGCAGAAGCTGGAGGAAGTGAGGACTCATAAATAGGGCCAAGCAAGGAGCCGAGGACAGCGGAGAGTCGCCGGTTCAGAGACGGACACAGAGGCTCAGGGACACACAGATGGCCACTACTGAGTGTCTCCCCCGACACACACACACACGCAAAGACACACGGACCAAAGAAAGAACCAGAAACCTGCGAGAGAGAGGTAAAATCTCCCCCAGCCGTCGAACTCCTGGTTTCCTCCTGCTCTCTTTTTACCTAATATTATAAAAGCCCTCTCTGTTCCTGTTTCATCTGCCTCTTGATAGTTCCCAGGCTCACTCTGTGCTCTCGCACCAGCAACAGCCTGTACCAGCTTATCGCTGTCCCTCAGGCACACCTACGCACTCTCAGACAAGCTCACACTCATCCGCACGCTGTGCGCACCGACATACCAACCTGTCGCCTCACTCAGGAACAATCGCAAGCAGCCTCTGCGTGCATCTAACTCCATATACAAGAAAACATGCCACCAACTTCGTCCTCACAGAAATAAATACCTATCAGGCCGCTTTCTATATCTCACAAAAAATACATTATAAGCAGACACTGTCTTGGTTACAAAGACCTTTCAGCTTTAATAATACACCTGTGTGATTCCAAAGTAATAGTAGGCAACACTCTGAATAAATGGAAGACTAAGCTACAGGATAAACAAACATTGCTACTCTGATATGGGTGATGAGTGACTGGGAAACTACAGCAACAATAAGTGAATCTTTGTGTGTCGCTCGCTTTGCCATATTCTTTCTGCATGGAGGTCGTGCACAGTGATTTTACAGATGCATCGTACGGCGTACCTACGGGAGGTGGCGGTAACGGAACCCACAATGCAGCTGGTGTCGAGCTGGGCAGCTGCGTGTGTGCTCCGTTTCCACCTGCTTCCGACACTCCCAGAGATACTGACTCCCTGTCTAACCCCAGCTGGGACCTGGCTGTTAACCTAGGGGGCGAGACGGATGAAACGGAAGGATGTATGAGTGTGTGCCATTTATCTGTACACGCAAAGGGCAGGAAGGCTCCGAGTTTGTGCTTGGTGTGTCTCTCTGCGTGATGGCTTATTTGCCTACATGGACGTACATGCATGCCCAGCTGGCTTGTATGTGCGCATATCCGTGCTGTGATACAGTGGTATCTGTGGGACAGAGAATGATAATTATTTGTATGTCAGGCGACATGAACCATTTCACTATGATGGTATCTGTACATGAATCTGTCGGTCTGGTTCTGCGTGTACATTTGTAAGCGTGAGAAAATGTGCCTTAGCAGATGTGTGCCTTATTATTATTATTATATATATATATACACACACACAAGCACATAGATCTACATATTTGTTTCTGAACATCTATATATACACTATATACATATATCTACAGGTGTGTCTGATTGAGTATGTAGCAGAGTATATCTGTACTGTACGGAAGAAGATTTCTGTGTTACTCTCTATCTGTATGTGTGTGTATCCGTCTA